GCTACTTAGGAGGCTGAGACAGGAGAATCACATTTAAGGCCAGTTTGGGCAATTTACTGAGATTCTATTTCAACAAAATTACTTTGTAAAAGACTAGAGATGGAGGTATAGCTCAGTGACAGAGCACTTGCCTGCCATTTGCAATGCTTGAGGTTCAATCCCTAGTACTGGAGTTTAAAAAAAAAAAAAAAATCCACCTAGGCAGCCAGGTAGTGCCTTGAGGATGAGAGAGGAAAGATCCAGAGAAAAATCAGCAACCTGCAGTGCTGACTAGTTCTCCACCAACAAAGAGAAAATCAAAGCAGACACAGGAAGCACGTGTAAGTAATAGGATAGGTGCTACCGGGGTGGCCTGGGTAAAAGCAGGTCTACAGGATTCCCCAGCAAGCCCAGCCCAGCTGGCACGCAGGACAACCACAGAGAGGCCTGAGCTCTGCTACATGCTCAGCAAAACTCAGTCCTGCAGCACTAGGCAGTGACTGGCCCAGGACATGTGTTTTTAATGGATTCTCAAGCTGCTAACAGTTAACATTGTTAATGACCTGTGGAGAGTTCAGATCCCAGGATAAGGGCTACCTGCAAATCTTCCTTATTATGTTGAAAGCATGCAAAATAGAACCTGGGCGCTGTTGCTGTCTCTTTTTTCTTTTTTTAAAATGTAGAATCTGGAGTTTTAAGAATCTGCTGTGTGTGTGGTGGTGGTGGTGGGTCTTTAATTCATGCTTGGGTCATTTTCTTGCCATATTGAACCAAAACTGGTCACCTTGCTAAGACCAAGGAACTTCTTGTCAAGCATGAGGCTCCTTACTCTAACTCAGATTACAAAACAACATTCATTAATCTGGATGAAGATTAAGATGAGGTCTCCTGTCCTGATCCCTTGAGATCCTTCACCATCTTTTTGCCCCTCCAACATCACCCCTGACTGCTTTGTAACTTTGGTTTCACCCAACGTGCTTCCTCACTCCCTGGGGCCCTGGAACACTGTGTTCCTTTGGCCTGAGATGCCCTTCTCACCCACCCTGATCACCCTTGATCCCTAGTGCTGGTGACACCTTTTCTACCAGCCCTCACCTGCTCTGTATTTCCTTCTGCCTTCACACAACCTCGTCACAAGCCCTTTACAGCACATTTTCAAAGGATTTCCCCTTTAATTATAGAAGCTACTTGTACTAGCAGAAAATCTAGAAAAAGTCTTAAAAGAGAAAACAAAAATCATACATATGCTAATGAGTTGAGGTTAGAAACACTATTAATATTTTGATGTTTCTTTCCAGTATTTCTCCATGTGTATATTTGTATGTTTTTATGCGATCAGAAAAGAAAAATTTAAATGCTGCAAAGACAAAGAAAATACTGACTGAGCAAAATTCAATGCATTTAGTGTTTCTAGGTGACTGGTAATTTAAAAAAAAAAAACTTAGAAAGTTTAAATATCAAATTGCAGGAGATCTTTCTTAATTTAATGAAGGGGTATTCCAAAAAATGAGTGTTTAAACAAATCTAAACAGTATGTATTCTACTTTTCTAGTTAGTTAGTTTAATCATGTCCTAAAACTTCTCTTTGCAAATGCATTTTTACTCCATAATCCTGCTTTATGAGTCTCATTATATATTGCAGTCTTTACTTACTTTTTGGTACCCCCACCACACTGCAAGCTTATTTCAGGCACAGCCTGTGATTTTATCATTTATATCCCATACCCACCACAGCTTCAATGGTGGTGAGTATGTAATAAATGGAATTAATGAAGGGTTACTTATGCTCCCTGCATTCTCTAAGTCGACCAACTTCTGACTGTCTATTATTTAGTGCTGTGGTACTGAAGACCATCCAAGGTCTCCAGTTCTGGGATGCTGGCTGCACCACCCAAAGTCTCCCTCGGGATGAAGGGCCAACTCTCCAGCTGCAGAGGCTGCTGCCCACAGAGAACCATTGGGCATTACCTGCTCTAAATGGAGTCACTTCATTTACGGTTACCTCATCATGCTTCACCCTCCTCCTCACCTCAGATGTCATCCCACAGAAGCCTCTTAGAAGCCTTCTGCAAGTTCTTATGTGTCTCAAGCCTGCTTCTTGGAAAGCCCACCCTATGCCAGCAGGGTCTAGACTGTGCACAGACACAGCCTGACCTGAAGTAACATCCATGCTGCCATAGGACAGATTAAATGGATCAAGGTCCTATTTAGGAAATTATAGCAAATATTTTCCTAAAAGAAAGTTTCAAATTCTATGGATTTAAAGGCACCTCATAATGAATAAAAATGGCCAATCATAAAGCACATAATCATGACAAGTTTTGAAGATAAAATGATATAAAAACCGAGAGGAAGGAAGTGACACAGAAAGGAGAGAAAACAGAATAAATAGAATCAGTATTCATACAATATCAGACTTCTCAATAGCAATGCAAGCATTCAGAAGATAACAGTCTTCTAGAATTATGCCTTCAAGATCCTAAAGCAAAATAATTTCCAAAATAGAATCTTACAATCAGCCGAGTTTTCAATCAATATGACGAGGGAAGAAAAAGTCTCAAAATATACTTTTCATATATTATTGTTCAAGAAGTTCTTAGGAGTACGGCCCACCAAAATACATCTGACAGTCAATAAAGGGAAGATAGGAGGTTAACAACAATAACCAGTTACAACCTTGAGGATTTCACATAATAACAGGGAAAATAAGGTAGTGGAATATTAGAGAACTGAATTCCAGTCTTTCATGACAGCAAGTTAGTAGGTAATAGCTACAACTGAGAAAACTAAAGAAATAGGGTATAATGCTGTTATTTAGAGGTATAAAGGTCAGTAACAACTGGAACAGCTAAAAAGATTAAATTAATTTCCCCTGGAAAGCAGGAATTAGGAGGGACCTGAGTGGGAAAAAGGATTGTGTTGTGCTTTATAAGTCTTGTAGTAGTATTTGACTTTAAAACTAAGTGCAATTATTACTTTTACATAAATGAACTTTAAATAGGCAAAAGTCCATTAATATGCCAGAAATAATTTGTAAATTGTGGTTAGAAATGGTCTTTCTGGAGAGAAAGCAAACCCCCCTGATTTGTCCCTTTCGCCTTGCAAATGGTTTTTAAGTAAAGTCTTGAGAGCCCATCAATCTACCAATTAGAAGAAAATGCAGAAGGAACAGCAGGAATCATGACTGCAAGGAAACAGTTACCATCCCATAAAATTATTGCCTTTACCAAATTAGAATAAACCTGTCAAGGCAATGTTAACTGTCTTTATGTAAAAATCAAAATGGTCTGGCTTCAACTGTCAAACAGACTCTTCCAACTTGTCTGTCACAAAGTGCTCCCTTAGTACTAAGTCGTATACTTCAAGTTGCATTTGCAGTCTGGGGAAGTGTGCTTGCCAGGCCCACAAGGCCAGGGAGCCTGCCTTCCCAGGCTGCATCCTGCACTTTGGAGAACAGCCAGCTCATTTAGCCGGCCTGCCAGTTGCAGGAGGCAGAGTGGATGCTGCTCCCACAGAAACATCACAAAGTAAAATATCATTGCACCTATCATATCAATCAATAACATGAAGTAAAAGATCTAGCTCCTCCACTTGGATGAGAGACAATTTTCTGTGGCTGCTCACACATGCTGCAGCCTTACAAATATATGTCTTCCAAACCACCAGATGAGATAAATAGGTACAATACTAGTTATTTTTATGTGCTACCTCATCCTTTATACAAAGTATCTCAGATCAATTTGAACTGAGAGGGCAGAATGGGAAGTGTGATGTATATAGAGTCTGAGGGAGAGGACTAACATTATACAAATGGCCACTAAGAATGCTGGGAAATAGGAGGAGGCCGGGTGTTGGTTGCAAACCATGCTGGCAGCCCCTGTGAGGAACAGAGAGCAGAACTGTCACAGCATCATGATTTCACTTTTTCACTGGATGAAGCTCTTCAATGAGGGGTCGCCAGAACTATAGTGATGAATACCAACAACAGTTGAAATGTGTCTAAATCTCACTGATTGATAATTTCTTTTTAAAAACAGTTTTAAGATATAATTACATGGTGTATAACTCACCCACTTAAAATGTAAATTTCAATAGCTTTTAATACAGTTACAAAGTGTACAATCATCAGCACAATTAATTTTAAAACATTTTCATCACCTTCCCTGAAGCTCCATCTCCCTTACCAGGCATTACTCATTCTTTGCCCCAAATTCCTCTCCTTTTACACACACACACACACACACACACACACACACACACACCATGTACTGTTCCAATCAACCACTATTCTGTGTTCTGTCTCTATAGATTAACTCTTTGTGAACATTTTTTTAATACACTAAATGATACAACTTGTGGTCTTCTGTGACTGGCTTCTTTCATGTAGCATAATGTTTTCAAGCTCATCCTGTTGAAGTATATCAATATTCATCTCCATTTTTAGGACAGAAGCACATTTCTATGTATGAAGGTAGGTGTGTAGGTATCTAAGAATTAAAGGTGACTGAAAATCCTTTGCTGCTCCTCCTATTGAAAGGTGGTCTGTATCCTTTTGCCTTAAGTTTAGGCTCTATGACTTACTGCATCTAATGAAATCTACAAGCGATGCTATGTAATTCCTGAAGCTGAGCCCAGAGAGATGTGCAATTTATAGTTTGACAGGCTGGAAATGCTCCATCTTGGAAGCCAATCACTGCTAACGTGGATCACGTGAAGGAGATCTAAGGTGCTCTTGTCAGTGGGAAAATGACCTCCAGACAACAGCCAGAGCCACCTGCCAGCCATGTGGGTGAGGCCCACTGAGGCCTCCGGATCACTGTAGCCCCAGCCAGCATCACAGGAAGCAGAAGAACCATCCAGTTGAGCCCAGCCAACCCACAAAGCTGAGAGATACGACAAAAGCCTAATGATACTTTAAGATACTCTATGTAGGGGGTGGTTCATTATGCAGCAAGAGATAACTAAAATGATCCCTGATTTATATTTACTATAATGTGAGACCAAGTTAGAATTCCACTCACCTCCAGTAATAGCAAAGTAGTTCAGTAATAAGGCTTTCTGTCTCCCAGGCAATTCTCAAGAGAACAGCTCAGTTGGCTGTGAAAGAATTAATAACAATGCAGAAAAGTGAGACAAACTATGCTCAGTCAGCAGCATCAGTGACAAAGTGTACAAAATCTTATCATGCCATTAAGGTAAGCAATTCAATTACTATAATATGTACAGAGTGAAATAATAAACTTACAGCTTGATGTGAAGGCTATATAAAATCAAGGGCTGTAAAGAGCATGGTAGAATCAATAAAGTTTATGAAAATGAAATTAGTTGTACAGGGATATGAGCAATGAATGTGCAACATGTCCTGTGTCTGTGAACAGATGAGGAGTGAGCTCCCCATGCTATGAGATCACATGCAAAATAAAGGATTAAAAGACACCAACCTAGGGCTGGAAATATGACTCCGTGGTAAAGCACTTGCCTAGCAATTCTGAGGCTTCATGTTTGGTCCCTAGTACTATAAAAAACAACCAAAACAAAAGCATAATCTGTTTGATGCATTTTGATTATGTTCAGCATGTTGGGTTTATTTTGATTTTTTAGTCTCTGTTTCTGTGCATGCATCTTTCACCTGCCCCTCTGCCTTCGACACAATGCACCCTCATTTATCAAAATCCCATTAACACTGACCTGTGTGAAGTCTTCCCTTATTTTCCTATCAATAATAAGTCATTATCATCACTATATTCTAATGACACTCATAAAGGTTGTTATAGCCTATCACCCTTTTTGAATTTCTGGTTAAATGAAACAAACAATAGTGGGAATGGATCATTTTCAGTTCGATGTGTCCTGTGATAAATAAGACAAAGTTTTAAGTATGCAGAAAGGCTACATAGTGATGCTCAGCATACTGATCAAATGGACACAGAAATGGATAGATGGGAGGCTATGTGGATTCCCGTAAAAGTATGGCTTATGGAGTATCATGCTAACTGCTAGGAAGACGGAACAGGAAGAGTTAAGTGGTGGCTTGAGTATTTCTCCACACAAAGAATCTGAGCGTGGTGATACTGCTGGAAGGAGAGGCTGGGAAACTCACCTTGAACTGAACTCCTTTCATTTAGACCTCATGTTTGTTTGGGGTGGATTCTGAGGCACTGTCCTAGACTAGAAAAAGGTTAAAGCTTCCCTTTAGTACAGCCAATAGAAGAGTTGTCTGCACAGTTAAATTCTTTTGTTTGTTTGTTTGTTTTTGGTACCGGAAATCAAACTCACAACTTCATGCTTAGCAGGAAGGCGCTGTGCCACTGAAAAATATCCCTGGATCTCATAATTAAGTTTTATGGTTCTTCAAAGTTATTAGCTGGTGGTTGGTAGCAAAATCTAATGTGCCCAAAGAAAGCAATTGGAGCTGTGAACAAAATGACAGGATTTGAAACCCTAACACTGGGCAACAGCAAGAAAGCATCATGATGGAACATAGTACCCGGTAGAGTCTTCGGAGAGGCTAGTGTCTCTCCACAGTGTCTGCCCTCCATTCCTTGGAGATGTTGATTTGTTTTGAGGTACATCCTTCAGTGGGTTCTAAAATCATCCCAGGGGTTTCTAATGGGCAATCAGAATTAGGAAACATTCATAATTTTAAAAGTTTAAATTCTGCTCCAGACACAATGACAAGGACCACAGTGTGTGTACAGGATACTCTGACAACAGAATAAAAACATCGTCTGCAAATGAAGAAAGCCATATTGTGTATTCATTAATTCATCTGACATTTATTGAGTGCCTGTGATGTGCCAGGCCCCATGTAGGAGTCTGGGATGTAGTGATGGGCAGCTCTTGTAGAGTTTACATGTCTCCTTACGGTATTAGACATTAAATAATAAACACGTATAATTACAAAGTATGGTAAGTGCCATGGAGGAAAGGACAAGATACTGTGATACAGAAAAATACAGTTTAGCAGGAACAGAAAAGGGAAGCTGGCAGCGAGTGTTGTTTGGGTTGAGAGCTAAGGATATAATTCAATGGTCCAAGTACTTGAGGAGCTGGAGGGTTATATTTAGGTTGAGCCACATGAAGTTGATGATATTTAACCATTTATAACCTTCAAAATGGCAATTGTTCCATTAGCATGTATTCAAAGCGGGAGCAGTGTGAGAAGGTATATGTCCTGCATTCCTCAGACCAGGGACGGATGGCAAGATGAGAAGCGGCTGTAGCAATGGGAAGAAAACTTCCAACTCTATATTATTAGATGGAGCACTGGAGCTTAAGCAGTGGAGTGCATGTTTATTGTGGCCTTTTGATTTTAAATACCTATGCTTGTCCTCAAGTCACTGAATGAATGATTAGAGAAATAGCTGAACTTACTCTATCTTCCCTCCTTGTAAAATAGATGTGGAAAAGAGGATGTTGTATACATTTAGGTCTTGGGGATTGTGCCTTTCTAAATGAATCATCAGAGTTCCTCATTCAGGCTGTACACCAACACCATCAACGTTGTCATCAAGTAACTGCACACAGCCTTGGGGGAAAAGTGCATTCATGTTCCAGTTACTGTGCAAAACAAGTCATCCCAAACTTAGTAGTGTAAAACAGCAATCACTTGTGCTCATGGATTCCAGGGGTAAAGTACTGGAAAAGGCACTTGAAGGTTATTCTTCTTCATTCTGTGTCTGGGGAATATCTGGATTGCCAAGGTCCAGAATAGTTAGAACTGGAAGATCCACTTCCCAGATGGGTTCTTCATTCATTGTCTGATGCCTGGGCTGAGATAAACATATGACTGCCTCACCTGGGGCAGGGATCTGGAGCACCTCATTGGCTGGCAGCTCAGTTCTGCAAGGAAAGGTCCCAAGAGGGAGCCGGTACAAAGCAAGCTTTCCAAGACCATTTCAAACTGCATCACCCTTCCTGACCTAACTTCAGAAGTCATCATACCCCTTCTGCTGTACTTCACTGATAGAAGCAATCATGAGCTCACTCAGACCCAATCACTTGTGCTCATGGATTCCAGGGGTAAAGTATTGGAAAAGGCACATGTAGCATAAGTAATATTTGACATATAGTGGTCTGAGGCAAAAAGAAGATATCCAAATTTAGACATTGTATCCTGCAGCTCAAAAACAGTATATTAAAGGCTGTGACCTTTCTCAGTCCTGACATTCAGTCTCCTGCCAGTGCCTCCTGTAAGCCAAACCAAACTGGAACGAACCAGTGGGCAGGAAGCCAGTGACACACTCCTAGGGGCCAACATGGAGGCCTAGAACAAGATAGAGAAGGGTAGAAGGTGAATCTGGGGAGTACACAGCCTGCTTGAAAGAACCCAGGATCTGTGGATTCCGGGACCAGGTGGTCTCAGCCTGATGACTGCATTCAGGATCCTCTGTCCAGAACGAGCAGGACTTAGGTACACATTATTCCAGTCTGTATCACTGAGGCTTATTTCTGTCTGTGTGTCCTAAAGGTACAATAGCATCCTTTAAAAATGTTAATGTGAGCACAGCTAGCAGTTCCTGTCTGTGTCCTGTGTTAATCATCTAAGGCAAGCTGTGGCAGCATGTAGTCTGGGTTCGATCCTCACTGGTGAGTTATTTGACTGCTCTGTGTCTTTAGTTCCCTCATTCAGAATTTAGGGATAAGAAGTCTACTTTGTGAGGTGTCCCAAGGCTAGAAAGAGATCGCATAATGTACAGTAAGGCTCTGATACAGGTTATTGATGTTTTTATGCAACAGAAGCTTTAGGAGCTCATTTATATGTGTAAAGATCTAGATTTCTTGATTACAGTGTAAAGTTGCTCAAAACATATTTAATGTTACTTTAATAACATGTCTTTTAGTTATACTTTAATCTTTACCCATGATACACTTCTTTACCCATGATACACTTCTCACTGGTTAAAATTTAAAACACATATATCCTTTGATCTATCATTTCTAACACTAGGATTGTTTTTTTAAAACGGAGACTTTGCTTTTTCTTTAGAATGGAAGATTCTCAACAAAATTGAAGAGAAAGTACAGCAATTTCCCACACACATTCTGTCCCACACATGCATCACTTCATTGTCAACGTCCTTCATCACACTGGTACCTGTGTTACAACTGATGAATCTATACTTACACGTCAGATCACCTAATGTCCAGAGTATAAAGTAGATACCATCCTTGGAATAGTACATGTTATAAGTTTGGATAAATGTGTAAGGACTTATATCTACCAGTATAGTACCTAAGTATCATTCCACGGCCCTAAAAATTCTGTGTTCCACTTCCCAATGCCAAGCTGCCCACCACACACACACACACACACACACACACACACACACACACACAAACCCTGGCAACCACTGGTCCTTTTACTCCTCCCCTGCCCCCCAAGGTATTTTTTCTTTTCCAAAATGTCATATATTTGCAGTCACACAGTATGTAATAGCCTTTTCAGGTGGGTTTCTTTTAGTCATTAACACGCATTCAGATTTCCTCCACATCTTTTCTTGGCTTGATAGCTCATTTCTCTCTAAGTTGAATTATATTCCATTGTTTGGATGTACTATAGTTTACTTATCAGTTTACCCACTGAGAAACACTTTGGTTGTTTCCAAGTTTAAGTAATTATAAGTGAAAATGCTGTAAACATCTGAGTGTAGATACATGTTTTCAATTCCTTTGAGTAAATGTCAGGATGCACTATTACTAGGTTGTAAGGTATGAGTGTGTTTAGGGTTTTTGTTTCTTTTCAGTGCTGCAAATCAGATCTAAGGCCTCACATGTAGAAAATGTTTAGTTTCTAAGAAGCTGCCAAATTGTCTTCCAAACTGGCCATAAAATTTAACATTCCTACCAGTAATAAATGGACATTCCTACTGTTCCATATCTTTGTCAGTTTTGGGTGGTATCAGTGTCTTGAATTTTGACCATTCTCATAGGTATATACTGGTACCTCATTGTTTGAATTTGCATTTCCATGAGACTATAATGTTAAGCATTTTTTAATGTACTAATTTGCTGTGTGTATATTTACTTTAGTGAAATGTCTGTTAAGGCCTTTTAAATTCAAGGATAAATATGTTTTACCCAAAGAAATATGCACATGGATATT